CGAGTGCAGAGCTTCGAGGATTAATCGTTCCCCCTTCTTCTTAGCTCGCGCCACAACCTTTGCGTTATCCATTGCGATCTCGTGACCTGTCCGTGCGCATATATATATATATATATATATATAGTGCCGTAAATGGTGTTAGCGCGTCCCCGATTCTCTGAAAATTTTCATCAACGTCTATGAGTAGAATCGTGAAATTTTACGTGTTCGTGTGGTGTTCCTGCTCTGCATCAAGTTCGTGTATAGATTTCAACGTCGATCGAATAAAATTATTTTATCCAAAAACGTGTGCCTCAGGGATAAAAAATGCTTTGAGTGCACCACTTGGATACTAGCAAGAGCGTGTGCAGCTCATTTATAGGACGGTATACGTCGCGGTGGTGGCCCAGTGGTAGCAGCACCAAATTATCACCCCAGGGATGTGTTTTAACCCCACCACCAGCGCCTGTCTGTCCCCATTATGTGTTGAATGACAGCCCTTTGGTTGACCACTTCCCCCTCCTGAAAATTGTATATTCAATGAAAGGAAGTAAAAGAACAAGAACAAGGAAAAAAGAACTATATGAGTGTGCTAGTTGAAGTATGCACAGAACACAAATCACCAATCACGAATAACGGAAGCAACTGGAACGCGGAATCGCACTAACACTTGCATCCTAGTATCGCCCATCATCGGGAAAGAAAAATAAGACCACGGAAGTAGCAGTTGGTTTATTAAGGGAAATCAGAAGATTAAATAACATATACAAAGAACGTTTATTAGTTATACGGTTATCTACCAATCGCGTGCTTCTAAAAAATGTCGACTACGACCGGCCGTGACGCACTTCAGAACGGGCCCCCGGACTTGCAAGACAACAAAGTTACCGCTGGTTAAACCAGAAGACTTATGGTTGTTGTAGATGTTTATTGAGGTACCGTGACACACTGAAACGTAGTGGTACCGGCTAACGAGAGTTTGCGTTAAAGCACGAAGGCAACGAAAACCAACGAGCGCGATAATGAGCAACAAAGGAGCGAAAGCGAAAAGTGAAAGTTCTCTCGCGGAAGGATACAGCTGTTTTCGATCGTATAAAACAAACGTCAGATGGCTTTGGTACTGAAGTAAAAATGTGAACATACATTTAGGTTGTAAAGGAAAAACGGTGTCCGGTAAAAATCTGATATGATCCGGTTTTCACGGTATAATCGGGCACACTACACCGGTATTCTTGACGTCATACTGCTTCTGTCTCGACCGCACAACTTCTGATTGGTCGGCATGATTGGCCTGTGGTTGAAACGTGTAGGCGCTTGGCTGGCGTCATCTGGGAAGATTGACTCACCACTGTTGTCCAGGAACCGTGACACGTCGCTCCGTGACTAGTGTTATCACGTAGGCTAGGCTCACCACAAAGAGGCTAGAAAGGTCGAATAGGTAACCAGTTTTTTTGACGAAAAAAGCGGATTTTGTATGTTGCATACAACCAAACACCAAGTGTTTCAACGCTGGATGGGTTGAAAATGAACATCAGTATTCACCTTAAATAACTAGTTGGACAAGCGGCAATACAAAACGATTAGAGTGTTTCCATTGATGAAGGCTGATGGCTACGGTCAAATCAAGTCTACTATAGAGAATACACATATTTAGGGTGTAAACGATGGTGGCGGGATTAGAACTCATCACATTCGAATAACTCTAATGGTAACCTCAAACGTTCTGCCAGAACTGCCATGAATCGATCCACATGTAAGCCTTGGAATACAGTACAAGTAACATTCCCAATGTCAATCGGATTTGCCGCAAAAATGATATCTGGAAGGTGACAGAATGATGGCGGCCCTACGCTAATTTATCCTCAGATTTCAACAAATTATCGTCCATGACCAGAGGAATCCAATCTCAAGCAGAGTTCAGTTAGACAAACGTAAAATTGAAGTAAGTGGTATTGCATGATAAAATGATATTCTACTTCAGTTTACTGGCACCATTTTGTATTGATTAATCACCGGAATCAACATTCTCTTGACTAGCTATGCTTTCACCTCAGCTTCATGAAAAAATGGGGCAGAAAAAGGTTATATGATCGACTGGATGAAATTTGACGCGATTTTTGACAGATAAAAACCAACCATCGTTCACAAAAATCAAACTTCTCATGCACTCATACTCTCGAGAAGCCCTGTATACTAGTTTAATTCTTGTTAAAGTTATCAGTACTGCACATTTTCCGACCCGTCCAGAATTCATACTCTGGATCACTCATACGGAATTCGTGCATACCACTGTATCAGCCACATCACTCCCCGGCCGATCAGAAATGACAATGAGAGTTCATTCAGATGTGCCAACCGAAGATAGTTGGCCAGTTATTGCCCCAAATGTCTTCTTAGTGAGTTCTATTAGTTTTGGTCCTAATTCCAACCAATCCCCGTATGCACTGTGTCTATTTCGGGTAAAATAAGTCAAATAGACTGGGATTCACCGATCGATCTTTCTCAACTCATATAGAGTATCGCGATTGTGTGAAACTATATATATATACAATCGATTGGGTTGTTGTAGGCTACCGGGCACTGTTCACTGTATGAAGTAAAAGAGATCGATCATTGAGTTACTTAACGGTAAATAGTCAGTCATTTCTTCACCAAGGGTTAGCAGTGATCCTTGGGGACATGACAATTTTTCGCTGGAAAACTACTTACCTTCAGTAAGGAAATGCTAAGCTCTGCAGTTTAACAGCTCACCATTAGTCAAGTACCACTCAGGTGCTAGTTGTGCAAGAAATAAATGCTCCAGTCTAAAAATAAATACCTTATATACGGTTTAAGGAATCAAAAGACGCTACATCTTGATCGGCGCGGGTGATTACATTGTGCCCACCGCAGTATAAGGTTGACTCGCATGACTCGGTGATGAAAACAACGGCGCAATATTGAATGATGAATGACAACAAGTCGGTGTTTCGATAAATCGATTGTAAGAATTCAGTACTTTTGTGAATAAAAAACCATTTTTCTAATGAATATATGAGCATAACACTTGGAACCAAACGACTTTTTAAGAAAAACAGCTTCCAAAGGCAGTGAATTGATAACCCCACATTTGAGATCAGTTATAAAGTTTGATTACATGAGCGACATGGCCTACAAGAACCAAACGATTCCGGTCAAAGAATAAATGGTAGTGAATTATATGAATTTATAATTTTTGATCAGCTTTGTCTTCTCGAAAAAGATCAACGTTGATACATGTTCAACAGTTCTAACGGTACAATTTATTCGGATATCTATATCCTAATCCCTGACAGTTTCCAGTTGTCTTTTACCAAAGAGCAGGTAAGAGTCGAATTAAGATGTCAAAAGCAGTCCCAATAATACCATATTTTCAAAACTATACAATCGATTATGTTGTAGGATCACGTGATTTTTTTGAGCCTGGTAAATTGTGAATCGAAATAAAGACAGACCAAAGTGCTTGGGCATACTGAATAATAGCATTTGATCACCATGAATCGTCAAATGCTCTGTACCCGTTTGAGGCGAAAGATAATGCGCAACACAGGCCGTTTGATCACTCGGCTATTGGACAATCAAGTGCTTAAAGGTATCACAGCCGATTTCACAGAACACGAAATTATTGACATGTGCTCATTGTTACCGGAACAATTTATGGCCGATCCTGCTGTTCTCGAACTGACCACAGAAACTCCGCTGATGATCGTCGGCGATATATACGCACAATACGGCCATCTTGTTCGTCTTTTTCACTATTACGGACATCCCCCAGAACAAAGATACTTGTTTTTGGGTAATTTCATCAGTTCCGGTAGTCGTTCCATCGAAACGTTAGCTTTGCTTCTCGCTTACAAACTTCGTTATCCAAAGTCGATTTATCTTCTACGGGGCAAACATGAGTGCGCCCGAGTGGCCAAATTCTACGGATTTTACGACGAGTGTCTCAAACGATTCTCCAGACGCATTTGGAATGCTATCACCGAGATTTTCAACTACTTACCCGTGGTTGCAATTATTGACGATCGGGTTATGTGCGTACACAGTGGCCTATCTCCCATGCCCAAACAAATGGATGTGCGCGGATTAAGCAATCTGAAAAAGTTTATCAAGAAATCAATCTCACTACCGACAGATATCGAATCCAATCGGCTATTGATGCATTTTGTCTGGTCTGAACCGGATGAAGATATACAAAACTGGGATCAAAATCCAGCCGGACGAGGTTATTTGTACGGAACCAAAGTGGTTCAAGATTTTTGCGAACGATACGAATTACAACAGATCATTCGTTCCAGCGAGATGGTTCGAACTGGATACGAGTTTTTTCCATGTCCGAAACTATTAACTGTATTCTCCGCGCCTGATTTCATGGAGATCTATTCCAATGATGGCGGCCTGGTCTATTTATCCAACGTGGACAAAGACGCGGAGCGGCGCTGTGTGTTGAAACTGGTTCATCCGATCATTCGTTTACGATGCAAACAAACGTTGCGCATGAATATGACATTTGACGAACTGCCCATCGATCTGGGTACTGGTAAGTTCCATTAAAGCAAGCTGAGAGTTGTTTAACTTGAAACGTCCTCATCATTGTCCTCAAAATAAGAATATAAGACATTTCAACCATTAGGATTGCATATGAGCCAAAACTGACGAGTACCGCTTCTTGACTAGTATAATATTTTCTAACTGTCATGCAACAGTTGATGCTCCGTAAGATGCTACCAAAATATGCCGTTGGAACCTACAAAAAGTAGAGCCAATCGTCGTTGTGTATATTACCGTCTAGTTTAGGATGGAGAACTGTAAAATTAGTTACCCAAACGTGAAGTATGAAGACGCACTTTCAAACTTTATATTATTTTTCACACAAATTACTTTAAAAAATGAAATGAACTTCTGGTCTTGAATTACCAGTTCATTAGTGAGACTGTGGGCAGGATGTGTATTCGTCATTATGTGGTCAAATAGTGAACATTTTTAGTCTGGTACTGATTCAGAATAAAGTAATAGAACGTTTGTGCTCTTCTGAGGACTTTATCATTTTTTAAAATACTTGAAACATTGGGTCCCCTTTATCCAATTTTTTAGAACCGATAGAAGACAAATACTGCGAGATGTTAACATTTCTTTTAATCTCTTCAGTCGCTACAACGTAAAACAATCTAGTATTTATAC